TTTGCATGTACACAGAAATAGGTACTTCTGAAAGACTGTAAAAGGTATGACTTAAAATCTGTTTTAAAGCAATGATTGTGCATTATTAAGTTGAAGTAGACTTTTGTTCAGCCCTCTGTAATCTAAATGTACTTTCTCTACATAAGCTTGGATTTTTGCCTGCTGTTCTCTGCGAAGAGTTGTGCATTTTGGGATTTTCATCTGAACAGTCAAAATTAAAGTTTTTTTCAACAATTTTGAAAAAGAGAGTTCCTTTTTGATTAGAATTTTCCTGGAAGTAGTTTGTATTGAGTGTCCCTGAGGCTGAGAAATGTTTTGAGCTTCCTCTCCCATTCTCACAGGAATATCCTATAGGATTATGGAATTTATACTGTTGGAAAAGACCTCTAAGATCATCAACTCCAACCATTAATCCAGCACTGCTAAGAGCCATGTTCACTACTAAACCATGTCCCCAAATGCCACATCCAAATAGCTTCTGAACACTTACAGGGATAGTGGCTGTACTACCACAGGCAGTTTGTTACAATGCTTGGCCACCTTCTCAGTGAAGAAATGTTCTAAATACTCAATCTAAACCTCCCCTGGCCCAGCCTGAGCTGTTCCCTCTCCTCCTGTCCCTGTTCCCTGCGAGCAGAGCCCAAATCCCCCCGGCTGTCCCCTCCTGGCAGGGAGTTGTGCAGAGCCAGAAGAGCCCCCTGAGCCTCCTTTTCTCCAGGCTGAGCTCCTTTCCAGCTCCCTCAGCCCCTCCTGGTGCTCCAGACCCTTCCTCATCTCCATTCCATTCTCTGGACTCACTCCAGCCCCTCAGTGTCCTTCCTGCCCCTCAGCCCCCACAGTCCTCTCAGCTCCCCCAGTGCTTCAGCAGCTCCCCAGACCCTTCAGCCTCATTGTCCTGCTCAGCTGGAGCCCAGGGATGACACTGGACACTCCCCAGGAGGGGACACTGGACATTCCCCAGGGATGACACTGGACATTCTCCAGGAAGTGACACTGGACATTCTCCAGGAGGTGACACTGGACACTCCCCAGAGGTGACACTGGACACTCCCCAGGAGGTGACACTGGACACTCCCCAGGGGTGACACTGGACACTCCCCAGGAGGAGACACTGGACATTCTCCAGGAGGTGACACTGGACATTCCCCAGGAGAAGACACTGGACATTCTCCAGGAGGTGACACTGGACATTCTCCAGGAGGTGACACTGGACACTCCCCAGGAGATGACACTGGACATTCTCCAGGAGGTGACACTGGACATTCCCCAGGGGTGACACTGGACATTCTCCAGGAGGTGACACTGGACGTTCCCCAGGAGGTGACACTGGACACATCCCCAGGGGTGACACTGGACATTCCCCAGGGGTGACACTGGACATTCCCCAGGAGGAGACACTGGACATTCCCCAGGGGTGACACTGGACACTCCCCAGGAGGTGACACTGGACATTCCCCAGGAGGTGACACTGGACATTCTCCAGGAGGTGACACTGGACACTCCCCAGGAGGTGACACTGGACATTCCCCAGGGATGACACTGGACATTCTCCAGGAGATGACACTGGACATTCTCCAGGAGGTGACACTGGACACTCCCCAGGAGGTGACACTGGACACATCCCAGGGATGACACTGGACATTCTCCAGGAGGTGACACTGGACATTCTCCAGGAGATGACACTGGACGTTCCCCAGGAGGTGACACTGGACACATCCCAGGGCTGACACAGGCCAGGCCCTGACCCCAGCATGGGGGAGGCTCTGTCCGGCCTAGGCCCAGCCCTGCTCCCATCCCAGGGAATGAGGCAGCCATGGGGGCCTGGGTGGCTCTGGGGTGACAGAGCAGGAAATCAGGAGTGGGAGGACAGGCCAGGCTTTCCCAAAAGAATGCCATTGCATCCCATGGGGTGACATTGCTGAGGAGAGGGTGGTTGTCTTGGTTTAAGGCAAATTTGAGAAGAAACTTCTGAATGGGGTCCCTCTAGACAGCAAATTCAAGCAGCCCCTCTCCCAGCTGGTTCAGAAAAAGACTTTTTGAAGAAAAAATGGAAAAACCTGTTTATTAAATAAGCAAAGTATGTACAAGCATAAAAAAATTGAATAATATTAAACAATAAGACCTCTCACTGTTTGAAGAGATGGCAAATTCAGAAAGACTTTGCTGTGGAGCATAGCTTGGCTCTCTCAGCCTCGTATCTGTTCCTCTGGCTCTGGAAAGTGCCGAGGCGCAGGCCATGGTGGGCCACAGGCGTCAGCTCCTGGTGCTTTTCTGAGGTTTTGGTCCAGAGCAGGTTTGAACAGCTCCAAGAAAAAAGGAAAAAGTCCAGGGAACTTCTCTGCCTCAGCTAGCTAAAAACTAACTAAAAGCAAAGGAGAGTTCTGTCCCGCTGTCTATCTGTGCTGCAGACAACACAGTCCGGAGAGGAATGTGGGGCAGTGAGTGCTCTTTCTGAACATAAAATGTGGCTTCTTCTTCCCCCTCTTCATCCTTGGAGCCAGTCTTAGAGGTGCAGAACTGAAGAGTCAGCATGAACAGGGCAGACAGCTGGGGATACAAGCATCATAAGGTCACCCCAGGACAGAGGTGGAGGAGCTGATGGGCCCTGCTGTCACCCAACCCTTCAGGGAACAGCTCTGTGGAGGGCAGTGGGACTGCTCCTGGCAGTGACAGATGGACCCTAATCCATGATGGACTGACAGACTCCTGGGATGGACTGACAGACTCCTAGGATGCACTGACAGACTCTGGAATGCACTGACAGACCCTGGATGCACTGACTGACCCTGGCCATCAGGACACAGTCCATGATCCCAACCCAACAGACAGACCCCTGGCCTTTGAAATGATGGCTGCCCTACCTAAAGAAACACCACATGTAATCTCACTCTGAACTTATCTCTAAAATTTTGACCTTTGCAGTGGTTGGGTCAGTTATTTAATGGATTCTATAAATCCAGTTGTGTGCATACAGAAGATGTCTTTTGGATTTACGTACGATTTGGATTTACTTATCTCTGGAAAGATGCAGGTGTTTCCTAGGGAGGATTTCTGGGGAGGTTGTCATGTGCCTGAAGAATTTCAGGATCTAGAATGGTGTTCTTAAGGTTAAGCGCCTGAATTGTGCTTAAGATCCTTTTCCTGTGCATCTTGATCCTTTTCTGGTTCTGGACCTACTTGAGTTCCAATTTTCTTCTTTGTCCTTGCCCTGATCCAATCGGACTGTATTACCACTTGCATCCTGCTTCCATAGTAGATGATTAGAAATCTCCTTTTAATCAATTTTTCTTTTAGCTACTTGCATTCATTTTAATTCACAATTCAAGTTTCTAAGTTTTTAAAAATAATAATTTTTTTTGTTGTTGGGGCTTTTTTTTCTGGTTTTTTTCTGGTTTTTTTTTTTTTTTTTTTTTTTTGTAAAGTGACAGAAAGTGGCCTGGGGAAGTGTTTGTTTGTTTGTTTGCTTTTCCTAGTGTAACCTGACATGCTTTTTGTTATGTTCAGTGAGATTCCTCTAGGTTGAGAAAAAATGTAGTTTTATCATATCAAGTTTGAGAGCCATAAAGAAAAGATTGATTTCTTATTTTTTGAGGAGACCTAACATAGACTGAAGAAAGATGTAAACAAAACTGAAGAAAACATAAGAGAGAAGGAGATAATTGTACATTTATATTCTTGATTTCCTTTCTTGTTCCTTGGCATTTTGTGAGAAAATAACACAAAATAAGTTTTTCATCCTGAAATATTTCTGTATACCCAGCTAGATTTTATCTTAATTCTAAAAGTAGGTTGCTCAAAATGTCAGTGTCTGCTGGTTAGTAAGTAAGGCTTGAATCCATATATTTATTTTAATGTTGAAAAGAGGAAAGAAACAAGGAACAATATTCTCTTTATTATATACTACAAGACAAAATATTCTGTTTGGGTGATAGGTGAGGCAAGACCATACATTGTGATACTTGAGGGACAGAAGAGCTGAATTTCTGAGGACAAACAGTTGATGCACTTTGGTCTCAAAGTAAGACATGCCATAATTCATTCAATGGTACAAAATGTGACATTTCCATTTAATCAAGAAAGTGACACCCTCAATGCTAGTCCACGGTTATCTGGGTGCCTTCTTATCTCTGTGCTTGTGTAGGGGACAGCACAAATGAGACAGGTAAGGCACTGGAATTATCTTGGTCCAAATTCCATAGACCTGATAATAAGACCTTAAATTTCTTATCTACGCTGGTGCTTAAAGAGTTCATACCTTGCTATAATCTGTGGGAAATTGTGACTGATACTCAGCTCGAGATTGTAGTCACTTAAATGTCAGTGCCTTCAACACAAGTTGGATGTCTAAGTTCCTTTTACTGCCAGTGATATTCACAGAACAGAATTAATGAAGTTTTAGGGGTTATGCACATTTCATCACCTGAGTAGCTCCTTGGACTCCAGACTTCCCGAATCCTACCAAGTCTCTACTGACTGATGAGAGATGAGACAAAAAGCCCATTTGTAAATATTAATGTTTTGCTTCTAACTGAGAATAAAATCCCACATTTGGGCTGAGTTCACTTCTTCCCAGTGCCATTTGAGATGCCCTAAATTACCCAAACCCCCAGAGTTGGGCTGTCAGGGTTGACACAGGACCCACAGCTCCCAAGTCCATTCACAGCTGGAGAGCAGGTGTCCTCTGAAAGGCACTCAAGAGTCTCCCTAATAGCACCAGGAAACTGTGGCAGCAACTGCATCACATTCTCTTGATCTGGCTGTAAAAAGTAGTACAGCCATTTTTCATATCATCTTTTAACCTCCAAATATAGTCTTTCCTTTATAGCACATTTCAGACTAGTGTATCATCTGTTATTAAGTATTGCCTAGGAAATGCTGAAAGAAGAAAGGAAAATGAAAGATTAAATAAATGAAAGTGGGAATTAAAAAGCAAGATGAAGAAAAAGGAAAAATAATCTGTGATTGGGAGATAACCCATCTCTGTTACTTTATTTTTATTTTACGAAGGATTAATTGCAAAGGATTAAGATTCTCCAGATTGCTAAAATGCTCAACAAATTACTTTTAACATTTGAAAGATGGAACAAGCAGAAATCTTTCTTGAAGGATAAGGGGGTAAGGGTCTTCTCTCACTCTTGTCTGCTAAACAGATTGCAAGGAGTTATATCCTCAAAAGGGTTAAACTGATTATCAAGTATAAGTCTAGTACAAGTCTTTTTCTCACACTTTGTTCTCTGAAATAATCCTATTAAAATAAGAAATTTTATTGCATGCCTATCTGCCCAGATTTTATCAATATTGAAACCTTTTAAACAGAATATGTGATGAAATAAACCCTGCTCACCAATGTGGTAAAATATAATAGACATCAAAGCAGCTAAAAGCCCTCTAAATCAATGCTGTAATGCTGCAGCAATTTCTAGAACAGAAGGTGAAAATCCCCTTAATAATTGATAAATGAAGGAAAATGTATAGGAGCAGATTTATAGAATACCACATTTGCACTCTTAAAAGACCTTCATTATGTCATTAACACCACAGTAATAAAAAGCACTTCCATCATTCATCAACCACATTGTGTCTGTCCTGCCATTAAACAGATGGAATAATCCCTGATTCAAGTTCCCAAAACTTTTAGAGTACACTTACTTTCATTTTCTTGCCCTAGGCCAATCCATTTAACAACCCATTATAGCCAGGTCGGTCAGGTCTTCAAGCTGAATGTTATGAATAAGAAGCGGATTGAAAGTGACCTTTATTCTCCCTCCTCTTTCCTCTGCCAAAGCCTGGCATGTAACATCTGAGAAAATATAAAGTCCAAGTTTCTATACTTTCAAGGACGTTCAGGAATTTTCCAGTACAGATAAATAAATAAATAGCTTCAATTTTGTGATTAATTCTTTCATCATTTCCATGGTTTATAATGTGTTGATAACTGACACTCAGTAAGACACATTTGCTTAGAGCTGCCTGTCAATGCTGCCAACCATTGCTTGAGCCATGCTTTCAATCGTTTCAACAACTCTCCAGCTTCTGTCTCCAAGTCCCAACCTCTGTCAAGAATATATTTTGTAATGCAGTGTGCACAAGATGATACCTTCTAAAGAAAGAAGCTTGAGTTAATAAAAACAAACACGTCAAAAGATGAATGTTCAATTTTTTGTCTGTTTTTAAATATCTGTTTGCTTCTTTACTCGCAGCTGTTCCTCAGCACTGCCTAATGACACGTCTTTATCCTTCAGGTGTCTTCTGCCATCTGCCATTTAACAAGCTGACTTTAGATATGACCTAAAATTAAGGATATCCAGGTCATTTCCTTCTGCCATCCTCCACTTCTGTTTTGGGAGCAGCTATCTAAGGAAATGGTGTAGGTGAGTGGAAAAATATCAACCCCAAAATAACCAAAAATGAGAAAGTTAAAGCTGGATGAAAAGAAAGGTAAAAGGAGAGGGAGGAGCAGATTTACCTATCGCAGGGACCTGTCAGACTTTGGTGACAGTCTGAAATGGGTTCTGAACAAAGGAACAGAAGTCACCCAAAGCTTACTCCACTTTCGAGCTTCAGCTCTGCAGGTGGTTAAACAGCAGATGATCTTGGATATCTGGCTGAATAAAAAAGGCATCTGTTTTAGTGCATTGTCATCGTCCCTTTGCTCTTTTCACTTCCAGCAGCCTTGGATGCCCCATTCAGCTGAGTTTGGATTCATTCAATTGCTCCTTCTCATTTTAAGAGGAACCTTGCAATCTATCATAGCTGAAATCACAGCAGTCTGGAGAATGACTGAAGGGCTGTGCTAAAATGGCTTTTAGACAGTAAATCAAATATTATCTACCAACCAAAACCTGTTCTTCTAATCAACTCTTTACTAGGTCTTTATGCATCTCACATTGATTATTTCTTTCTCTTTTCCCAGGTGGTCATAGAACCATAAGGCTGATGAACTGGAGGAGAGTCTGTTCATCCTGTAATCTGTGTTACACATTGCACTTGAAATGGCTGATTAGTGAGATGTTCATTAATGATACACATGAATTTTCATCTTGTGACTGGAATGATATTAAAATTATTGGAGACATGTATGTCCTTCTGATGGACAGATGTCCCTTGCTGCCTTTCTCTCTTTAAGGGGATTTTTTATCTTCTATTTCAAGGCACTTGATTTTCTGTTGATTTATGTCTATTTTAGGGTCCCTTATCTCTTTCACTTCTGTTTCTGCTTTCAGAACCTTTCTTTCTTTCCTTCAGGGGCCTATTTCTCTTTGTTCTGTCTCTCATTTTCTGTGTCTGACACATCTGCTCCCGCCTCTCTCGATGTACAGTGTGATAGATGGAACATGACTGGAGAATAAAAGAAAGTTTCAGTTCTCCCAGCGAGTGGAAAGGTGACCTGCAAACATCTGAACAAAAAAGCGAAGAAAGTTTATTTTTATGTGCTGAATATTCTGCACAGCAAGAGACACATCACATTTAAAGACTGCACAGGAGACACTTTAAACACTACCTACTCCATAGTCCATCCCATTAAATTCTGTGCACAGTTTTTCTCTTGGTCTGTGTCTGTATACATATATATAAAACCAGCTCTGCTAATAGAGAGCTTTATTCAAAACATGTTAGTTTTCCCATTGTTTTCAAAAGGGGGTTGGATCCTCAAGAGAATTTGCCTTTCCTGCTATGAAATCAGTTCTATACCACCTGGCCAAAGAGGGAACCAAGGAATCTGATTCTTTCTTATTTCAGATTTCAGATTTTCAGTCTCTTAAAAACATTTGCAGAAGCTTGTTTAATAATTGTATTTCAAATTCAGAGTCTGCTTTGGGGAAATTGTAATGATTTTTAATTATTTTAGGGCAAAATAAGTACAGTAAAGCTGAAGCGAAATATTTTTATTCATGGATGAAAAAGAAGAAAGGTTTTCACAACCAGATCTGCTTTTAGAAGTAGAAAATTACATTGGGCTTTCCAGAAAGACTTTATTTTCTCTAATGGTATGTATATATCATTATCAGTTTTTGTTTTATGTAATATTTTGTTATACTGTGTTTTATGTGAGCAGGGTTGGAAGGCAGAGCTGCAAGGTCTTGGTTGTTGACCCAGTAGCTCAGATTTTGGGAGGTTTGAGAGTAAAGCCAGAGACAATCTCCAGGAGGTGAGTGCTGTGGAGCCAGGAGGTGACCTTTGGCAAGAGCTGGAATCCTGAAGTCAGTTTCTTGGTGCTCAACAGGGATTTTGCCAAATTAGAGCCGTGTGGGATCTACTCCCATGGTGGAGCTGTTCTGGAGAACCCAGAAATCACCCATGCGATCTTCCTGCATATTTGGAAAATGCCTCTTGTAAACACCTGTCCCTATTTTGTTGGATCATCTGAATAAATACCGTTCTACAAAGCATTACCTTCCAGATCAATGGGTCAGGGTGATTCCTATTTTTTTGTTGTTTTACCTCTTGATTTAAAAACAGTTTCATTGGAAAATTGCAACTAGCTGTAATAGAAACTGCAAATTTGTTTCACATATGCCACCCCAGAGTCACCAACTGGCGTGGTAAATAAGTAACAATTTATAAAGTGAATCTGAGAACATTCCCCAGCAGTTAACACATGGAAGGTATGAATATGCATGAACCATTTTCAGGTTGTTATGGTGCACATTTTCATTCTGAAACAATTATAAAAAACATTATTAGAGAGGTGTTAAATGTGTCAGAGAAGCATTTGGCACAGCCATTTTCACAGAGCTCTTTATTTTGGAGCATTGCTGTTTTCTTGTGACTGGTTTTTAATAAAACAATAAAATAGTAATGAGAAAAAAATTTTCTCGATAGTAATAAACTGATTTCCTATAAGAGGATTCAATTCAAACAGCCTGTTCCCGTTTAAGGTCTCATTCAGGAAATCAGTGCCTGTGTTTTCAGAAACAACCACCAAAGATTTAAGCCTGTCCTTGCCTGTTCTTCACTGGATCCACTTGGGGTGAAATGTGCCAAATGCAGCCAAATGACTGAGAAATTAGTGCAGAAAGTCATTGTTTAGATAATTGTAAGCTCTGGGAAGTGCCTGGCTGGATAAACAGGACTCTGAGTGGCCCCTCCTGCAGGGATGTTGGAATCACAGAGAACAGGGCAGGAGCTGTGGCCATTCCCTCTGTTGAGTGCCAGCAGAGATGGCTCAGGGTTCCTCAAGGCTACATTTGACTTTTTAAACTTTCTCTCCCCAGCCCCTTTCTGCACACAGGAGGAGAGGCTGCCGTCCCCTCAGTACACACGGAATGGGTGGGGATCTTGTCCTGCACTGACAGCAGCTCCCTTCTTTCCCTGCCCGTGCCTGGGCCAACCCTGCTGGTGTGCCAGGTGTCCTATCCCAGGCACAGGGTGGTACATGCCTTATCCTGTTGTCTTTCAAAAGCAGAGAGATTCCCTCTCCTTCCCTCACAGAGTGTAAATCTTTCCACTGCTTCTGAGACACCACCTCATAAACTCACTCCACATCCTTGGAAGCCTTCTCCTAATCTCCAGTCTAACTTTCTTATGGTCATAAGACAAGGAGCAACGGGTACAAACTGGAAGAGGGAAAATTTAAGTTAGATATTAGGAACACATTTTTTTCTGTGAGGGTGGTTGCCACACTGCAGCAGGTTGTCCAGGGAGGTTGTGGATGCCCCAGACAAAGCAAGGTTAGATAAGGCCTTCAGCAAGTCACTCAGCTAGAGGGTGTCCCTGCCCATGGGAGGGGAAACTGGGACTAGATGATCATTAAAATCCATTCCAACCCCTTAACATTCCATGATTCTGTGGTTTACTTCAACTTTTTCTCATGTGTCACTTCCTGTCTGTTCTCCCTTAAGGAAAGATCACCTTTGTAAGATCCCTTACAAAGGGCAATCCTGTCTCCTCTTTTATTTTCATTAGACAGTGGTGTAGCAAACATTTCTCCAAGTCCCTGTGGTACAGTAAATCTTCTCTCCCCAATTATCCTCTTGCTACTGTTGCAGTTATGCAGCCTCTTTTTTCACAAATAACCTGACCAGAACTGTGTGTTGTTGGCACTTCACCACAGTCACATAGAGCAGAATGAATAATTCCTTACCTCAACAGTAAAAAAAAAAATAAAATAAAAAAGTCAGATTATATAAATTTATATCAACATTTTTTGTAGCTTCCTGTTCTTCTCATCTTCTCTCATGTCCCATTAATAACCTCTCAGGATCTAGCAATAATTTTTCTTAGTAGATGTACATTTCTTGGCACTTTTCTGACTATACTTTTTTTATTATCCCAGTAGTTGAGCAGGTCTGTTTCTTCCTGTCTGACATTTTTCTCCTCAGTTTATTGACAGCACTTCCTTACTTACTGCCAAACCAAATGATCAATTTCCTACTTTTTTATGTCAGGGTCAACTAATGAAAATATCAAGTAAAATTGGTCCCAATGTTGATCCTCAAAAAGTGCATCTGAAGAGTGCTTCCAGACAGGAAGGTCTTCCCACTGTATGATCCATTGCCATATGCCTTTTAAGGGGATTTTTCAGACCTGACAGTATTTTAGCAGTTCAATCTCCCTCTGTTTTGGTGAAAATTCTCCATGTGGCTCATTACATGAAATGCTTTCCTCAAGTCCAAAGAGATGAGAGCCAGAGCACTGCCTGTCTGCAGAATGTAATTTCTGTTACAATAACAAAAAGAGACTGAGTTAGTCTGTCTTGGTCTAAACTTGGCAAATTCCAGTTCCATTTTATCCCATAATCCTTTTAGCTTCATGTCTTTCACTAATTTTTCACTTGAAAATGTGTTCTACATCCCTAACATATTATTGAGGTCAGCTTAATTGGTCTATACTTGGTGAATTCCTTTTTCTTCCCTTTTGTAAGGAGCAGTATGTACTTCCTGATCAATAGCCAGTGCCCCAGATTTTTGGAAATTTGATGGTCATTGCTGTTAATTCTGTCACATTTTGAAATTTAATCAGCTCAGCCTCCCCTAGCTGAGATTGACTTATATCTTTAGATAAAATCTATTCCAAAGTGTCATCCCCTTCATCCATTCTGCTTTGAACCCCAGAGGTCAAAACTTGTATTTTTAAATCTAAGTGTTATCATCAACATTATCATCATCAACATAACTATTCCCTGTATCATCATCAACATAAATATTCCCTGTATCATCATCCCACATATTAAGACAGGTAGAGAGAATATTTTATACTTTGGTTCTGGAAGACAGTTTAGGAAATGTGTTTCTTTCTTTGCCCTTCATTTCCTTTGGGAGCATCTTTTACCCTTTTATGTCTTTTCTAACAAAACCAGGAGATCAGTACCCTGTTCCTCCTATGCTTTGTCAGACTTGCCTGAACAGATGGTAAATTCTCTAGGGCAAAATTTGCCTCTAACTATGTGCCTGAACTGGGTCTATTATTTGCTAGTGATAGCAATCAAAGACAAAAATGTTAATCCCACTTCCTTTTTTCTTTACTGACAGGGGTGAGCTGGTATCAGAAAATATGAGAAATAAGTTTTTGAGTAGAAATTTGCATGAAATTTGCACATAGACAATGAATGTACCAGTAAGAACTAAGGTTCTGTAATTTTGCAAAAGTTTCTGTTCAATAAAGTACATAAGAAAACTCAAAAGATATTTAAGAGTAATGAAATGATCTTATTTTCTTAAGAGATTTGTTTGGTTATTTTACATCCCAGCCATGGAAATATAAAATGTAGCATCGCATCCAAAGATGCAGGGAAGGGACAAACTATAATTTCAGTATGTTATGAAAAAGATAAAATACATCTTCCAAAACACCATAGAAATCACTTCCTTGCAATTGTGTCTGTGGCTTATATGACTTAAACGTTCCAGACTCTATTTTGTAGCATCCTTGATGGTTTCTTCTACCTCATAAATGCCCAGTAAAATAGAAGCAGCTTGTATTTTCAATTCAGGGAACTGCAGTTATGTGCTCTGCTCTGGGATAGGATTGCAAATCAGTCATATTTTTGTGGCATACTTCTGTAGGCTGAAATTTTATCTACTTTATCTCACTCAAAAAACTTCTGAATCTCCACCCTGATACCCTCATTAAACCAGTCTGAAACTCTACAAGAGTGAGTATATTAATGTGATTCTGAATTATCCATTCATCCTAGGGCAGAACAATTTCTCCAGCACAAAACAGCTTTTTTTAACAAATAAAGATAATTATCTACTGACCATTTATCTAAAAAAGCAATAAAAA